CACTACCTCAACTGGATTTCCTCCTACTTCACTGACTCTTTCAGTTGTCTGACTAATAATAAACACAAAAATCCACTGGAAAATTGCTAGTATCTAATTTTATTTTTCACATTACATGAGCCTTAGTGTGGTCATACTGTTAGTAAATATTTGGGCTGGGAGTTGGACTCAAGTGTGTTTCCTGCCAGAGCCCTAAATTTAAACTACTATATTAAACTGTCTTATTTCTGAAGCTACAGGAGAGCTATAGTTAATGAACCAAAGAAGACCCCTCCTTGGGTTTCTGAGGCAGTATCTCTACGGAAGTAGATTGCTCAACCTTCCTTCGAAGGAGTGGCTAGTGGGATTGAACTGCCAGCCTTCTGGTTAGCAGTCAAGTGCTTTAGGCACTATGCCACCAGAGCTCCTATGTTAAACTGTCTTATTTCTGAAGGTACAGGAGAGCTATGGAATTCTGACTTAATCCAGAAGGCTATGGGAGTTACATGTATCTTTGCAAACAGGAGCCTGACATAGGCAGTTTTGCTGGTTAGATGACAGCAGTGTGGAAGGTGAATTGGGATAGACTGGGTTTGTTGGCCTGGAGACCAGTTAGGAGGCTCTTTTCATGATCAGGGGAGAGGGATGGCCCAAAGAAGAAAAAGGTTGGCTTAAGAGAGAAAGAGGAAGAACTGAGGGGCGATGTACTGAATAGGAGGAACTCAGGTTTCAGAAATTGGTTAAGTCCTTGGCCCTTGAGTCATCTTCACAACCATTGCCGGAAGTCAGATACAAAGCTGTAACCTCCCACGCGACCACAAGGGGGAAGCATCAGCAAGCGAGAGGCAGGCCCTGAAGACAGCTTTGGACTTCTTTGGGCAGCACGTTTTGAGCGTTGGCACAAGTATCCGTGTCTGTGCGCTTTCTGCGCGCCTGAGTCTCCGTTCCAGTAGCTCCTGTTTTCCAACTCTGGTCATTAGTTTCTCCATTTAGGGCACTCACCATTTCCGTGGTCTCCTGAGTTGGCCTCAGAATAGTAACAGACCTCACCTTTGGGTAGGCGGCAGGATTCAGACGCCTGGGCGGTTGAGTCCCACAGAGCCCAGAGTTGTTCACTCTTTAACACGCCTTACGTTCTCTAGAGCCTCTAGAGAGTCTATATATGAGACATGGCCTGGAGCTGAGGCACTGATGAGTGCGGCAGATTCAACCTAGAAAATAGAGGAAGAGCGGCTTGATCAGGAGTTGGGAAATGTGCGGAGGCTGGAAAGGAAGGACACATCATATAAGGAAGTTCTTTGTTTTGACAGCAGCCTGTCTGCTAGGAAAGATAACAGTCTTTTAGTGAGCTCTTTCCCACCTTCTCAGATCACAGTGGCTGAGTCCTAGACCTTACTCACTGACCTACTCAGAGAAGAATTTCTTCAAACCCTTGTGAGACATATTTCAAGCTTTGTCTATCCCTTCTCCTAGGACAGGAGTCCCTGGTTCCAGCCTCCTACCCTTCAATGAAGAAACAAGGCAAAAGGAACGAATTTACCCAAGGAAGAATAGATGTGTGTGTGTGTGTGTGTGTGTGTGTGTTGGTGATGGGGATTGGTAATGAAGAAGGAAACTGGAAAGCTAGAAAGTTAAGTTGGGTGCATACTATGAAGGGCCTTGACCACCAGACTATGGAATTCTGACTTAATCCAGAAGGCTATGGGAGTTACATGTAACTTTCCAAACAGGAGCCTGACATAGGCAGTTTTGCTGGGTAGATGACAGCAGTGTGGAAGGTGGATTGGGATAGACTGGGTTTGTTGGCCAGGAGACCAGTTAGGAGGCTCTTTTCATGCTCAGAGGAGAGGAATGATATAATAAGGCTGGGAGCAAGGGAGGAATGTCAAATAAGAGGAGAGTCTATAATAGATTAGTTGGAAAGCAATAGCACATGTGGGGGTTAAAGAACAGAGAAATTAAGGTTGGACTAGCTGCTCTGAACTGGATGGCACAAATTCATGGAGATCAAGAGTACGGCAGAAAGACCAAGGGTTAGAAGGGGTCCTATTTGGGACAGATGAGTGTGGGGCTTATAGGCTATCTAAGTAAAAATATCAAGGAGTCAGTAGGTTATATGGGTCTGAATCTCAGGATAGAGGCTTAAAACAGAGAGGTCTGTGTAAAGGAAGGTAGTGAGCCTGGGTGCTGCATGATCACCAGGGAGAGAAGGTAGAGGATGGGATGTTTGTCTCTGGATGCCCAATACGGTGGAAATGGCATCTGCTTTGTGTGTAGCACCCAAGCATAACCTGACATGGATTCTCATGTGAGCCTTGAGAGACTCTGATCACAAACTCTGTCCTATTCTTTTTTGAGGACTGAGAATTGTAGCCTCTTTCCTCATCCCCTAGAATACCAGAACTGCTTTTCCCAAATTTCTCTGATGGAAAAAAATTAAGTATAAGAGACACACTGTTTTTTAAAGAGATTTCCAAGCTCCTTCCCTTAGGAATTCTGATTATTTGGGCCCACATTAGGACCAAGGGGATGGTGTTTTCAGCACTACTCCAGACCTTTCTTATCAGGGAAATTTGAGAAACACTGCTCTTGTCTAAACAAAAACCTGCCTCGTGAAATCCAGTCCCAGACTGAGCTACAATTTCAACTTTGCCCTAAACCAGCATAGAGTGGATCTTAAAGGCAATCACAGATTGAGCCTCTCCCTCTGGACCCAAACCGACCCTAACCCCTAACTGGGTCATTGTGGAAGTTTCTGGACCAGTCTATCTACTTTGTTGCAGAAATGGATGACAACAGTACCCCTCGTCAGCAAAATCAGCTCCAAAAATGAAAGACTATTTTATATATTTTCCTTGTGGGTCCTTGCACAGTGAGGTTTATAGGATAATGGTAAAATTTTCTCAAGCATCACTGGGGTCTTGAAGGATAGGGCAACTTCAGGATGTCCATAAATGTGTATATAAGGAAATTAAGAGCAGAGAGAAGCTAGGGTTCAGAATTACTAGAAGTACTCCATCCTTCATTTTCTACCATCACTATTCTAATGCCCTTTACTTGTAGGTCCTGTCACTCCTCTGAACCAGGAAAGAATGATGCTCCTCCTTGCCTTTTCATTGACACTGGACATGGGATGCAGAAGCCCCAGCTCTTAGGTTCTGTCATGGCCACTCCAAATGGAACTCTGGTCCACCCATTATACTTCCTGTTGGTAGGTATCCCTGGCCTGGGGCCTAATTTACACTTTTGGCTGGGTTTCCCTCTGTGTTTTATGTATACTTTGGCCAGCCTGGGTAACCTGGCCATTGTTCTCATCATCCGCATGGAAAGGCGCCTGCATGAGCCCATGTACCTCTTCCTGGCCATGCTTTCCACCATTGACCTAGTGCTCTCCTCCATCACCATGCCTAAGATGGCCAGCCTCTTCCTGACAGGCATCCAGGAGATTGAGTTCAATGTTTGCCTGGCCCAGATGTTCTTTATCCATGCTCTGTCAGCCATGGAGTCAGCTGTCCTATTGGCCATGGCTTTTGACCGCTTTGTGGCCATCTGTTATCCTCTGCGCCATGCTTCTGTGCTCACAGGGCCCACTGTGGCCAAGATTGGGCTAGCTGCCCTGACCAGGGGATTTGTATTCTTCTTTCCACTGCCCTTTATCCTGAAGCGGTTGTCATACTGCCAATCACATACTGTCACACATTCCTTCTGTCTTCACCAAGATATTATGAAGCTATCCTGTACTGACACCACAGTCAATGTAGTTTATGGACTCTTCATTATCCTCTCAGTTATGGGTGTGGACTCCCTATTCATTGGCTTCTCCTACGTCCTCATCCTGCGGGCTGTGTTGGCTCTATCCTCTCGGGGAGCAGCACTCAAGGCTTTTAACACCTGCATCTCTCATCTCTGTGCTGTCCTGGTCTTCTATGTGCCCCTTATTGGGCTGTCTGTGGTACACAGATTGGGTGGCCCCACTTCCCTGCTCCATGTGGTTATGGCTAATGTATATCTGCTGTTACCACCCATTGTCAATCCTATTGTCTATGGAGCCAAGACCAAGGAGATCCGCTCACAGGTCTTCTATATGTTCTCACAAGAAGGCAGGTATGCAGGATAACCTCCTCAAAGTCCTCCATTGTTACCAAAGATGAGAGGATTAGGACACTGTGGAGTGTCTTAGCCATTGGAGCATCCAACCTACTCAGCTGTGTGCTTCCAGTTATCTAATAGATCTTGAATTTCTGTCTCCATCCTGTATCAATACAGAACAGTTTGGACATGCCATGCTGGAGAAAGATCTGTGTATGATATCTGCACATATTTAGTCTCTCTGCTACGGTGGCCTTATCGTCTCCCTCTCTTTCAATGAGAAAATATATCATTTTCTCCTTTGTATAGAAGGGAAGGCTCATGATTTGTTCTAGTCTTGTATTATATTTAATTATCCATGTCAGTGAATCTGTCTTAGGTGGCAGAGGTCAGCTATATGAAGCTTCTTGTTTAGACTTCAAAGTGGTTAAAAAGTCATAATTAGAGGTGAATAAATGCATCTGGGTAATCATAATTGGAGGGAGGAAAGGAAGAGGTGACCAAAGAGAAAGAGAAAGTTCACATGAAGTGTTTAAATTTCTGTCTGTGCATCTATGTATATTTGTATGGAAATACCAACGTGTGTGAGTCTATATCGATGTGACTTTACTAGAAACTATTTACCTACAAGGATGCTGCATCTTTACGGTATGTTTATGAATGTGTAGATTTATATTTTTTTGTGAGTATGTGTAATTTAGAGTGTGCATGTATACACGGAATGAGTGCCAGCTGTGTCTTGGTGAGCATGTGGTAGCTGTATCCTGGCCTGCATATGTTTAATGAGTAATGTCTCTGATGGTGTATTTATTGTATTCATGTAACATCTATTAACTGTTGTGAGATATGCATCTATGTGAGTATGCTGATATCCACATCTATATGGTAGGCAGTATCTTAACTTCCAGCTCTTGAAATCTAATAGGTCAAAAAAAGTTTGCATAGGAGAATTACATGTAAAAAATAATTTAGATTCATTTTCTAACTAAACTCACTGCCATTGAGTTGATTTCAACTCATAGCAACCCCCCTGGGTTTCTGAGGTTGAAATATTTATGGAAGTAGATCACCCAGCTGGTGGGTTTGAACCACTGACCTTCTAGTTCACAGCCAAATGCCTTATCCACTATGCCACCAGATTCATTTTAAGCATAGAAAAGACTGCCAAAATAGGACTCACAAGTTTCGAATCTTAGAACTATCTTAAAGCAGCATTGCCTTATAATCTTTCTAGACTTAATTTCCTTTCTGTAAAATGACAAACTACAACATCAGTAATTTTGTGAAGTTTAAATGGTGTGAATGTCTTCTGAAACTACAAAGAGTTATAAACATACAAGAAATTATCATTCCCAATTGCCTGGTTGCACAGCTTTAGGAAACGCCATTCATATCACTGTCTGTGTGTGTGGTTCTCCCCAGATTTGTGTGGCGTTCCTCAGATTTGTGTGGCCCATCAGCAGGGTAGCTACCTATAGTTGCTGTGATTTATTATTAATAATGAATGAAAAAAGCTCCTTATTTCTTAATAAAATATTTTCACAAAGCTTCAAAAAAGTAAATATGTATCACCTTGTGCTCAGATCTGATATTAAAAATGAAATTCAAAGAAAATCTAATGTTGTCTATATGACCTTTTAGTTCTGGCCAATATCTACATGAGGAAAAGAGATATTGTGGGGTTTGAATTAGATACGATCTAGGTTAGGAATGCTAGCTAGCATTGATTTTGGGGCTAGTTACTTAAACTACCATAGCTCAGTAATTATGGAAACTGTAAATGTTGTGAAACAGAAATATAATCTAGACCCTGTTGGATGGTTGTGGGGATTAAATAAAATAACTGATGTTAAACTATGTGAAAAACCATCAATAAAATTTGGTGACAATCTTTATAAATAATAAAACTAATTAAATGAGATATTATTCCAAACTGGAGGATAGTATTCAAAATACAGAAGTCCTACCTTTTATGCCAAGGCTAGAAGTTATTCCCTTTGTTGTTGTTGTTGTTATGTGCCGCCTTACCTATATTGAAATGTCAATGATTTTAGGCCACTTTGTGGTCTTGTTTCTCAGGAGATCCTGGAATATCTGTGAGTCCTCCAGAATCTATTTTGATAGATGGTGATGACTAGAGTGATTGTTGCCTCTCTGGAAAACTTGGCTAACTGCCAAACAAGATTAAGGGCTTCCCCTAGGTTTCTACAGATCTCACTCATAGCAACCCCTCCTTGGGTTTCCCAGGCAGTATCACTACGGAAGTAGATTGCCCAATCTTCCTTCCAGTTTTAAACAAAACAAAACTTTTACTGCCATTTCTGACTCATAGCAAACCTATAGGACAGAGCAGAACTGGCCCAAGATTATAAACTTTATGGAAGCAGATAGCCATATCTTTCTCTCGAGGAGCAGCAGGTGGCTTCGAAGCATGGCCCTTTAAATTAGTAACCAAGCACTAACCACTGTACCACAATGACTCCGTCTGGACAATCTCTGTTGTTGTTGTTATGTGCCGTTGAGTCAGATCAGACTCATAGTGACCCCTCCTTGGGTTTCTGAGGCAGTATCACTACGGAAATAGATTGCCCCATCTTCCTTCCGAGGAGTGGCTGGTGGGTTTGAACCGCCAGCCTTCTGGTTAGCAGTCAAGTGCCTTAGGCACTACGCTACCAGAGCTCGTGAACAGTCTCTAGGCTTCCTTTTATCATGGACCTTAAACCTCTATATTCCAATCGTATGTCTATCCCTTTGTCATCAAGCTTAAATAGTTATATAACTGTCTATTTATCCCTCCATCATAACCAGATGATAGTTTGTCTCTCTTCTCAGGCCCTGACACTCAATATCTGTTTTCTGGGGCTACTCAGAGAGAGGGAGAGAATGAGTATGTTCTGGTTCACTTTAAATAAACAAATTCACTTTTATTCACTCCACCAACCCTCATCTCTTGTTCCTTTCTCTAGAAGGTACAGCCCTAAACTTGGCCTATGCTGTTTTATGAAGTCCACAGAGTGCTTTTTCCAGGTATTAATGATCTAAAAACAACATTATACTGTAGGTAATGATTCTATTCCTATTTTACCTATAAGGAAACATAGGCTGTGAGAAATTAAGTGACTAGCCTAAGGTCATGTGACTGAAAACAGGAAAATGACTCAATTCTAGAGCCCTTTTCCCCATGCCACAACTCTTGAGCCTCAGAGATCTCAAATTTCTGATTTCTTGGAGATAATTCAATTTGAGAGAATTTTAGACAAATCAATACTCAGCTGAATTCTTGAGAGGCACCCTCTACAGATCTCTGGAGTTCTTGCTCTGTGTAGACCTCTCTTCTCTGGTACTCTGCCTTCAAATTCTAGTTCGCTTGGTCTTCCTCACCCTCAGCTCCATCTCTTCTACTCAGGGAGTCCTCTGGACTCTGCCTGGATTCCCCTTCCCTGCGCTGCACCTTGAAAACTTTCTCAATCAATAAGATGAGGGGGGAGGTGAAACTAGAGGGTTCACCTCATTTGTTTCCTATTTCTCCAGCATCAACGGCCTTCACCGCTTGATGTTCAGTGTCTTACAAACCACTATATCATATATATTGTCCTATTTTGGTTCATTTAGGTGAGTATTACTCCTTGTTACTCCATGTTGACCAGTGGTAGAAGTCTCTTGGGTACACATTTAAAAAAAAAAAAAATCTTCATATTGTCTAAGGCAATAGGAGATTAAGGGAGGTAGCAGAGATGGCTCAAGGGGGATAATAGTGTGTCAATCTGTAGGCTCTGCTGGCACTAGGATCTCTTGTAATCAGTAGTTTTGATGAGGACTCAGTTGCAACAGCCTGCTTTGACATTATGTATTTTTCCAAAGCTTTAGTTGGCATAGATGCCCTTGTGGCTCGGTGGTTGAAGTGCTCAGCTGCTAACCCAAAAGTCAGGGGTTTGAATCCACTAGTTGCTCCATGTGAAAAAGATATGGTGGTCTGCTTCGGTAAAGATTTATAGCCTTGGAAACCCATAGAGCAGTTCTACTCTGTCCTTAAGGGTTGCTGTGAGCTGGAATAGACTTGATGGCGGTAAGTTTTAAGTTAGTACTCTCTGTGCTGTGAATTTACAACTTAAATTAATTAGTAAAAAACCAACTACAATTTACTTTATTTATAGACATGTTGTTGTTGTTGGTATTTGCCATGAGTTGGACCGACTCATAGAGACCCCTCCTTGGGTTTCTGAGGCAGTATCACTATGGAAGTAGATTGCCCAACCTTCCTTCCAAGGAGTGGCTGGTGGGTTTGAACCGCCAGCCTTCTGGTTAGCAGTCAAGTGCTTTAGGCACTATGCTACCAGAGCTCCCATTTATAGACATAGTTTTATTTATTTAAAAATGTAACATATTTAGTTTCTTATTCACATTGTTCTAAAACGTTCTCTTACTAATTTTGTCCTTAGGAGAGAAACCAGATGCCATTGGTCTTATATGATTGGTGTTAGGATTGGGGAGGGTTAAGGAAACCACATCCTCCTTCCTTAGCCAGAAGTTTGCTAATCCAAGGTCAGGGAATGGAAGGCAGAAGCATTGTCCCTGGGGATCCTGTTATGAGTTAGCCAGACACAGGTCTCAGAGCCTGGGAGACAAAAAGTATGTAGCTGTGGGGCTTTGGGGAAGAGAGAATGGGACCATTGGATTCCAGGTTCAGAAAGGACCTGAGCAGGGGTCACCACAAGAAAGAAGGCAGGGGAGACAAAAAGCTTCAGGATTTAGATTAGAGCTGGCACTTAATTATTGGGTCTCCTTGCAAGCTTATTCTGCTATTCCTCCAGCTAAATTTGATAAGCCTGGGAAGAAACTTGGAGAAAGGCACCTCGCAAAGTCAGTAGCAACACAATGGGTTGTCTCTAGTCTTTTCTCACTCATTCCCTATGTCTCATTGTGAGCTAGCACAAGTGTCCCAGCTGGCACCAGTGCCCGTTTGGGGAAGACTCTGGAGACCTCCTTTATTAATTCCCCTTCCTTCCCAATGCCCCCAGACATACTCCC